AATTAGAATGAAAGTCGAAGAAGGAGTAATTCACCTAGTTGAGGGACCCGCGGACCTCCTAAGGGTGCGGACTGAAGCGCAATTGGCACCGAAGGAGTTGACCTCGGCGACCTATTAAGGCTCAATCTTGGCGCGGTGGGCCAGTGCACGCCCACCGATCATCTGATCACTCGCCGCAGGTCTATACGTGGCGAGTGATAGATAGCGGAGATGCGCAAATCAACGGGCAAGGAAGGGGTCCCATTTCTCGGGTTCTGGGCCGTTTCTCATGGTTCTTCCTTCTTTCGTGTACCACTCACCATCCCTAGGTTAATTTGAAATGGGTTGCTTTTCATCGTGAATTCGTCCTTTAATTAGTTCAGGAGCGGGTTTGACGGAACTAATATTGACGACGAACCTCGTTAGGATGAACAGGTAGCAACGCGAACGTCTCCTTATCCACCCGATTGTTCTCGCAGATCACTCGTACCCAACCTTTTTCGTTCTTACTGTAATAGTAGCTTCATTAGTGCTATCCGCTCACACATAATGAATGACCACTACCGTACCTGCTGTAGTACAAATTTTGCTTTTCGGTGGCACTTGTGGCGTGTACCCATGTGTTGGTTTCCTCATGCTGTAGCCGTACGTACGACTTACTCGGAACGTCTTTATTCTGTAAATTTGATAGTTGCACCCATCTCAGACGTCATCATACGGATCCGTAAGGATGCAGACCATTGGCATTATGCCAGGATCCAGTGAGAACAGCAATCTTCGATCCGCTTCTGGAAAGTCGGACTTGACCGGAACGAGGAAATATGTTCCTGTGTTGCATTCGTCCGTGCTCTCTGGAAAATTACTGAACTGACAAAAGGTAAAATAAGAAAAGTATAAAATAGATAAAAAATGAAATAAAAGTTGAAATATGAGCAATGTGCTAAAAATTAAATGGCAAAATCGTATTTTTGGAAGCGCCCCTTTACCAGGGGCATATTTTTTCGCATTTATGGGTAAACAGAGAGAAAAAAAGGAATAGGTAAATATGGGATTGGGTTCAGCACCCCGAAACACAGCATCAAAAGCAGTTAGCAAAACTCAAGAATTTAGGCACATTCCGCAACTGAAAAGGCGTACGTTACTTTTTACAATAATGCTTCTTACCATATCAATGCAGCGGTAGTTGTGTGATTGGCCTACCAAAATTTGAAAGAAAGCGAAAATAGGTAGAAACCTTTGATATATTCGCACTAATCCCACAGGCGGATTTTTGCTCCCTTAGTTTCCTCATCTCTTCACGGTACTGACAGGAACTGGCTAACCACCTGGAGAGTTCGACGGTGGTAGGCGCATGTGGTTTTCAAAAGATTTAACTGAGCTGCTGACTTTCCTTCACAACTGATGGACCAAATGGCACCAAATGGCACAACTACGTCACTTCTGAGTACAGTAACTCCTCCTCCCTCTCATTCTACCGCGAAATGAGTCTCCGAAATGATTGTTTCTTGGGCAACCGGGTTTCATTTTTTTGAGTTGTGGCACTTTGTTCGGTCCCCTGCCGTATCTCTTATAGGAAAGGAATAAAGGATAAAGGATAAAGCATTTGCCGTTGATCAATCCCTTTTTGGGATGCGGCACGCATTCTACTTCCATTTGTACATTCGTAGTGGCGTTTGAATGCGATGTGGCCTATACAATGACTTGCGGGGGCCAGCCGATGTACAAGTCAGTTGTTTTCCCCGGAGGATGGAAGGCTTGGTTGGCCCGGGCGACTCACTTATCTCAGGACTTGATCTCCAGACCGCCTCGTTTGGTACATGCGACTTTGCCACTACCACTACTTCCGCCCCCAGGAAAAGAATATTCACGAAATAGATAGGGGATCCAGTTTATCTATGACGTGAATTATCAAGCGACCCATTCTGTGTCGTTCTTCGGCAACTTCTGTAACCCCTTCTCCCGTTTCGTCTTCTTCCTCGATGGCTCAATGTACCTTAGCCCCCCCCCCTCACCCCTTACCCTCGTCGTGCACTATTCTTCCACGGCGTTCACACTATTATGTGGTGAGGCCAATATAGGTATGGTTGCCAGCCCCCAGCCATGGAACTCTTTTATTCGGCCTATGCGAATCCCGCCCTTTCTTAACGCCCCTGCTAAGTAGCCTTAGTCTATAACGGTGCCCGATACATTGAACTGTGATTGCCATACCTACAGCCAAAAATATTAGGTTGCAAAATTTGTATTGTACCAGAACAATGGCATATTTATGTAACTGTAAGTAAAAAAAATCACCAGGTCCATCGGCGTAGAGTTGACTCGGTGGTGGTAACCAGAAACTCGGCTTTAGTTCTGAAACAGCCAATTCTACAACCGTGAACGTAATTTCAATAATTTCAGCAGTTTGTTAAAAAAAAAAACTTAAACAAATATTATGCATGCAGCAAAACAAAAGTAGTCAGAAAGTCATAAACGAAGACGAAGTAGCGGAAAATTAGTGATGGGCAGCGCAAGCGCGTGTTTAGGCTGCTTTCATAGTTCGCATCGGTGCATCGGTGCGGTCGGTGCCGACGGTGCCGACGGCGCCGACCGCACCGACAGTGTGAAGAGCGTCAACACGCGCTCTGGCGCATGACGCGTGCGCTGGGCGCAGATGGGGCGCTCCGGTCGATAATCTTGGTTTTGGTGTATTTCTTGTATTTTTTCGATGTTTTTTGCACTCACTTCATATGAACAAAATTGCTTACGACCAACACACCCCGTATAGCCACATCCCCGGAGTTGATTAATACTTTCAGTCTTGTTCCGCGGGCGGACGAGTCGTGAACCCCGTTGTACGGTTCACGACGGCGGGTTCGCGGCGAGTCGACGTCGTGAACCCGTGCTACGGGTTCACGACGTCGCTCGCCCGCGGAACAACTGGAAAGTATTAATCAAGACATAAAAGGGCGCAATGTGGCTCGGGGGGGCAGCCGCCGCGCGGGGCGTTGCGGCAACAGGAAATTCGCAAGCCAGGGGGGTGTAGCCAATTCAGGGGGGGGGGGTGAGGGCAGTCACTTAGCATGCGTGAGAAGCTGAAATGTCCCGTGAAAAGCTGGAATGTTCGAGTTACACTACATCGCTGAGCCGCGCACCGACTTCCCCCCCCCCCCCCCCCCCCCCGAGCCACATTGCCCATAAAAGAATAAGTATGAACAGGAAACACACGAATTAAAGCAACACGGCGCGAAAAAAAAACATCGAAAAGCACAAGAAATACACCAAAACCAGGATTATCGATCGGAGCACGCGATCTGCGCCCAACGTTCGCGTCATGCGCCAGAGTGCGTATTGACGCTCTTCACACTGTCGGTGCGGTCGGCGCCGTCGGCGCCGTCGGCACCGACCGCACCGATGCGAACTATGAAAGCAGCCTAAGTTAACTATGGTTAGTCGTCTATGATTCTGAGGTACTCACCTTTCCAGAGTGGCCTTATGTTTGCTGAAAATCCAAATAGAATCAATCAGGAAAAAATGATTTCGAAAAAGTGCACAGTGGGCATATAGGTTGGAGATAATGAACAGCTAAATGATACATTTGCTTCCTGGCCATTCGCTGCCGCGTGAGGGAACGGGCTTGGCGAGCGCGATCTTTGTGACTCCATGCGAATCACGCCACTGTCGAGGTGTCATGGATTCGCAACAACTTCGAAGTTTTCTCTTTCTTCTACGAAAGTTTATTTAATCTTGAATTGAATTTCAAGCTTTCCTCCCAATCTTTTCTGGAAGGAGAAATCGTCCAGCCGAACCTAATGGCACACAACACTGTCAGCAAATAGAGATCCCAAAAAGAGAAGCCGTCGATACAGGTATACTTAAATAGATCGCGTCACTTCATGTGCATAACTGCTCGTCCGTCCATTTGTGGCCGTTTCACTGCGAAGTACCGGTTATGGCTGTCAAATATCATATAGTGCGAGATGCATTGAATCGGTAGTAACTCGCGCCATTATCGCGAGCGCCAACCACGAATTACGCATCTTTTTGGACCACCTACAAGTAAAAGTGCAATAGTGGGATTTGGTTAGGTATTGAGCATTGGGTAGCCTCAACTGTGGAGTTGGAAATTCGAAAGTTTCTAGGGAATCCCTCGAAGGAATTCACCTATCTTCCCAAACTTCTCTCACCTGAACTTCCCATAGTGCTCTGGAACTGGGTCGCATCAGCAGCCGACGGTCGATTTGTCATCCGAAGAAACACAACATCCTGAGGCGGACACGTCTTCGATCGCATCTAACGTGAGAAAAGTCTGTTGATCGGCGTGGAACAGGCGGACTACGTCACCCTGAAAAGGCATTTGGTTAGCTTGAGGTGGAATTCTCCAGAAGTAAAGGCTAGGTGCCGGACTACGGTAAGTTGTCGCAAGATTTGGAGATCTGATCCTCGTCAACCAGTCAACCTTTTCATCAATCCTGAAAACAACATACCTGTCTGGAGAAGAGGTCGTGCTTTCCTTCTACGCACAGAATGAACACCTAGCCAAAGCCAAATAGGGGTTTACAGAATAAAGGAGGGATTGGTTGATCTCTCAGAATAGAATACAAGATACGCCACGTGTTCGACCTTCACTTGAAATATGAAACCTATTGGAATGCCCCATCCGGTCTTTACAATCAGTTATAGTAGCCGGGTGCGTTGCAGTTCTCCTCCTCAGGTCACCCAAAAATGTGACACCACTCATTTGCTCGGAGCTAGCAAGCTTAGGACTTAGTCTAGGCCTAATCATAGCATAAGCCAATAAGTAAGCATAAGCCTAAGCCCAAACCCAAGCTCAGCCTTAGGTTCAATGATCGCGCAGCTCTGGTAACTGGCCCAGGAGGAGGACTAAATGATCGCGCAGCTCTGGTAACTGGCCCAGGAGGAGGACTAAATGTCTCACATGGTGGCCAAGTGACACCTACTAGTGATACTCACCTATTGAAGTGATTTTTTTCACCTTTCCAGGGACTTCTTACGCTATCTAACATCCCAAAAGGATGGAGGGCTCCCCTGACCAAATTTCCTTGGCACGATGCACATCATTTAGCCACTAATTTGTGAAAAACTAGGAGAAAAAATTCTCAAATATCAAATAATCAAAAGTCTCACCGATTTCACAATATCCGGTTGATTCTCATTGAACAGCAAGAACATAAACACCTGCCATTCTGTGCACTCGTTGAGGCAATTCACCTTCAAATTTTATTGGCTGTTTGAAAGTTGGCTCCGCCCTGCGGTAAATTACAGTAACTTACCTCAGCCGCGGTTTGATGATCTTTGAGTAGAAAGTGACTCAAATGAAGTTGATGCTTGACGTGGCCTGACGTCTGGTTATTTACAGAATATGGTACCAAAGAGATTTTGTTACCAGCTGCGACCTATAAACATCGATAAATCGATCGATATCGATCCAAGGTGTGAATTTGTTCCACTGCGCAAAAATTCGTTCGCATGGCGATTATCTCGTCCAAACGACCTGTTTTCTAGTTGCTGGCTTGAATAAAGTCGAAAATCAGCGGGCAAGCAGAGAACTAATATTTTGCGTGTTTTTAACAGACATCTCTACCTTTCTACCACAGGCGCACATTTGGCATATCGCTCCCCTCTAAACCCACTATACTACGATCACTGCCTTCGAGTTCCTATCCTTTCAACATTGGTGCTGAATTGTTCGCCATCTATTTCCACTAAAAAGCGCAACCGAATGGCGTTGGACACGCCATGAACACTTC